TTTGTTATCTTAAACAGTCAGCTGGTTATGCCCTTGGCTGTCATATTAGCTTCAGATTAAAGCTAACGTTATTAGCGAAGAATGGAGAAGTCACACAAAAATGTAGTATTTACTCAAAAAATGGTGTGAAACAGCCAAAAATCAACTATTCAGTATATTGTGTGACTTCTCAGAACCAAATCGGCAATCACTGACTCCAGCACGGAACAAATTATGAAATCGCATTTTGGAAAAGTAAGCATGTAGAGCGATTATTACAACGCATTAAATCTATCGTTCGCTGTAACAGCTCAATCCCCTATCATCTGGTATGCCACTGAAAAACTCATCGCAAACAAAATGCATGATTCTCACCAACCCTAAGTGCAAGCTTCTATTTATTTTAAAGTCATTTCGACCCAAATCATTAACGTACATGTAATCACTGCTTTGACACATAAACAGGACAAATAACAATCCTCCACCGCTTTACTTTATACTTCTGCAGCATGACGGTTTTAATGAAAAATTCCATTAGACCAAGAAGTTACGGAAAAACTGCAAGCAGCAAACTGTAAGCAACAAAAAGCAAAAAAGACTAAAAAAAAATCAAGCAAGAATCCGAAGCTCTTAGGAATATTTCGCACAATTTATGAACATCCGGTAAGAACCCTTAATGTGCCGCATTCTCTATCGCCGGAAAAAGCAATCGGAAGTTACTTCAACGATCAGTACAATGACTCCATTCGCTGCAAAGCTTCCGGTCATTTTGACTGTCAACAAATGCCTGAGCATAAGCTTTTTGCGGTTACGACTTATCAAACACAATCATACCATGTTGTCTTTAATCTTTAATTATGCATGACAATCGCCAAGAAATTACAAAAAATGCATCACAACAATATGAATACGAATTTACGATAACAGGGGGTCAGAGAGATTCTGTTAGATGACCATCCAGCACAACATCCCATACTTCCCAAAATGGAATACTTGAAATCAATCGCAGTCTGCCAGACGTCTCACTGCAATAGCAGTTGCTTCACCCCCTCCATTACAAATCGTCGCAATCCCAATTCTGTTCGGTTGAAGTGCATGCAGAAGCGTAACAACAATTCGTGCGCCGGATGCTCTGCAATAAATTTTAGTTGAAATTTTTAGTCGCAAAATTTTACTTAGCTCAAAGTTTATCGTATTTATATTTTTTTACAAAAAGGTGCTACACGTGTAGGTGGGAGTAACAGATATAAAAAGTAACTGTGACAGAACAAGAAAGAAACAGCAACAAAGGTAAACGATTGGCGGAATAAGTAAATTTTAATAAACCGACAATGCTAGTATATCAGTGGCATGTGTGTGTGCCGATCTGAATGTATAAAAGACTGTTGAATGCTAATAAAGAAAAGCATATTTAATTGTCGTTGTATTTTTGCATTCTCATCCCCTTCCCCTCCTCCCCGTGCTTCAGAGCACCAAAAGGTCAGTGCAAGGAGAATAAGTACGAAAGAGGCGAGAAAAAATGAACCGCAAAAGTCCAAAAACAACCGGGATGTAGCGCTGTAAAAATTAAGGGCTTAATTTGGAAAAGCGACACACCCAATGGGATGACCCAGTGCAACGGCTCCTCCATGGATATTTATACGAGTAGCATCGGGCAGACCCATATCACGCATGAATACAATTGCTGTCAGAGCAAACGCCTCGTTCACTTCCCACAATGAGATCTGCTCAACAGAAAGACCGGTTTTTTCGAGCAACTGCAAAAAAAGTACAGCTTTGAATCAAATTAGTAACTGGCCAACGCAAGGGCCCCCGTGAAGATGCGTTTTTTACACAGTTCCCCGCAGATTTTTGTCACTAACAGCACTGTTTTTTCCGGCAGATGCTTCTAGCAAAAAGAATTTCAGACTGACCGCCAGGACTGTCAGGAAACATCCCTTCAAAATTCCAGTCTTCTAGATTCTCAGGTTCCCGAGTTAGCAACTTATCCGAAAAAAACTCACACAGGTCCGTGAGAATGACTCATACCCAGAGGTTAGGTTTCTCATTAACACCTAGGTGAATGGGGAATATTCCCTTAAAATTTCAATCCTCTAGCTTCTTAAGTTCCCGAGTTAACAACTTACCCGGAAAAAACTTGGCAGGCCCGTAAATGGGTACCACGCATGCCCGGGGGCTGGGTGTGAGCTCAATGTGACTTGGGTGGACGGAGAATATCCTCTTAAAATTACAGTCTTCTAGCTTTTCAAATTCTCAAGTTAGCGACTTACCCGAAAAAAATTTTGGCGAGGCCGCACTTGGATACCACGCATACCCGGGGGGCTGGGTTTGAACTTATTAATACCTACTTGGACGGGGAACTCCCTCTTGAAATTTCAGCCTTTCAGCACTTCTAGTTCCCGAGTTAGCAGCCTACCCGCAAAAAACTTCGGCTTTGGCGGGCTTGTACGTGAGTAACACGCGGGTAAGAGCGCCCGTTTTGGGGATGGGGGTCCGTACATGCATGCAGATTAAGTTTCCAAAATTTTAGCCTCGTAGCTTTTGTAGGTCTCGAGATAAAAAAACGATACAGACGAACACACAGACACACACACACACAGGCAGACACACACACACACAGGCAGACACACACACACACAGACAGGCAACCCCTTGTCAATATGCGTTTTCTGCGTTGCATGGCTACAAAAAACCCATAAAAAGTAAGGGAATTTGAACGCACGATTTAATTGAAAAGCTTCAGGAAAGAAATCCAGAGAGAAAATCCTTACGTCAAAATCGATAAAATTCATTTCATGGTCTGATTAAATGCTCACTGTTAGGAATCAGCAAATTCATCAAATACTGTCCACAAACCTTTTTGGCAGCAACAGATGGAGCACGACTGAAATCTTTTGGTTCCAGTCCAACTTCGGTGTAACCCAAAATCTGCGCCATCGGTCGATAATACTCTCGCTGGGCCAAAAAACTACCACCAACAATCACCAGTGCAGCTGCACCATCGCTTATAGTGCTTGCATTTGCAGCCGTTATTGTACCTGTATCCGGCTCAAAGACAGGCTTCAGATGAGGCACCTGCAAAAAATTAATTTAAATAAGGAACGGGGAACAGCAAAAAAAAAAAGGACTGGTATGGCTAGGCTTCCTCTACGACAAAATGTGGCTTGCAGTGAACAAAACACAGAGACGTTCCCTTTAGCTCGGCACAGTGTTTTTCTGGCATACACCGTGCATAAATATGCAGAAATAAGTGATGGATCAATGCTAAAATAATGTGCGGCAGTGGCAGACAATATACCAG